AGGCTGTTGGGGGACTGAGGCAGACTGCGAAAAGTCGGCAATCAGAACCTGCTCATTGCCCTCTGCCAGCAGGGGGCGTAGCACCACAACGACGGCTGACGAAGACCGAAGCAACGACGACGAAGATACCAGTCAGCAACGGAGTCGCTACCCATTCTGAAGGGAGGAGGCAGACAGCGCGATGCTATTACACCACCGTTGCATACGTTTAATTATTATTACGTCTTATTATTATTGCGTTATATTATTATTAATACCGTTCATCGCTATTACGCTATCGCTGACCATAAGAAACTGGAAAGCCAATTAACCGCATGATATATTTGTGCATGGTCATGGTGCTTCACCTGCTGTTTAACAATACGAAGGTCAGTTGAAGAAGCGTCACCGGACTCGTCTAATGATGTACGTGAACCTGTGGATTCAGCAGTTAGCAGCAGTGTGCTTTTATGCGTTGGAGTCATCGTTCCTGTCGTCAGTGCGGGAAGACAGAAAATTGCCAGCTGGTATTTACAAATAGTAATATATCGTCTTTTTCCTCTTACAGTTGGTTGATTGCTTACTTGTCACGTAACCTTAGACCGAAACAACGGGCATTCACCCCCCGTTACATGCTCTGAGATTCTGTCCTTTCACACGAACGATTTCACCTGATTTTCGTAAACAATTCAAAGCCTATATGCCGAAAGGCCATCAGGTCTCTGGCCTGACTTTTGATCAACTGTTGACTTCTCACTCCTTTGAGTTACGGACCTTCATCCACGTTCGGGAGAGGAAATGTGGAGTCTTTCTGCGTGCTTGTCGTCTTAACTTCTGCCTGTTTATTGTCTGCTTGAAATCACAGGCGAACATCTGCTTTGTTGGTGGATCATGGCGAACCTTCCGTAACTCAGTGACCGGTTGAAAATTTGGAGGGACTACAGATTAATGTTCTCGAAGCCTATGGTCACGAGGTAAACCATGGAAAATGGTGCATTTAAACTTGAGCATCAGTTGGAGCCGAAAGAGTCACAAAATCTTCTTCGTGGAGAAATGCCGTGGCAACATATCAACAGGATCGACATGCAAGCTTGGTCATTCAAGAGTACATATAAGCAGCGATAGCAGTCCTACTTACGATTGGTCAGTAAATCCCACTGGGTCCGTCGGTAAAGGCACTCCATTTATGGCTCCCCTCTGTCGGAATTTCGTACGTACTTCACCACAGCCATTTGGACGCCGGAGGTACTGTCGAATGTACTGGTAAATTTCGGCGATTTAGTACTCATCAAGTACTTTTTTGCCGATGGTTTCACCCACTAACAGTGGTTTGCAGGAAGAGAGAGGTGGTGGGGAGGGACGGGGTGCTGTTAATCCAGAAAAGACCCAGTGTAAATTATACAATGTGAAAGGGTACAACTCCATGAAACGGAAAAGCAAATGTTTACACATTCAAACGATGACATGAAAGTGCGTCAGGAAACGTCATGCACACAGAGACACAAGGAAATCAAACAATTTTAGAAATCATTGGTAGGTCATAAGTCAGATTTTACGCAAGTTCCTCAAGACATACCGTTTTATACATGCACATAAACGTTCCAGATGCGGCTTCTTGAATCATCCGAAGTTGGTTGATCTTCACGCTTTCGAATTTTGATACGATCTGGCGAATGATCGTCTGTCTATACTGAGAAAAAACTCGATCGAAGATAGCACGATGGCCTATGCGACGAAGTGATCCAGACAACCGAGGGCGTTGCTGCGGTTGGATGGCGGTAGGTGACTGACAAACGACTTCTCGGCAACGACTATTGCCGCCCTTTTAACTGACCGAGCTCTGCAACTCCAAGGCCGCCGCAGTCACCTCGCAGTTGAACGTGTGCTTGTGGAAGATTCTGGCCGTCTCTTCCTTCGACACAGTACGAAGGGACCCATCGACGATAATTTGACACTTGAGTGACTGCAAGTAGAAACAGGCCGAGGCGAACGGTACGGGCGACCGTTCAGGTCCGCTGCCTCACGACTGTGGGCGTCTGTGCAAAATTTTACGCCTCTCTCGTCATACTGACTGAGGGCCACCATCCGGCTGCTGGTGTACCGTCGGTGTTTACCGTCGCTACATAGAAGTACGAACAGCTGTTCGGACATACGTTAAGGGCGATCTTGAACCAGCAGTCCAACAGACTCATAGAGTCTACAACCTACGAGCTGTTCTTCCATCACGGATAGCAGATCAACACCTATATAAAATTTCGTAATGCAACCGACAGCGCCAGAAACGTGCGCTGCCTGATAATGCTGCAGAACTGGCAAGTGCCAGAATGCGTGAGTGAAACAAAAACTCCGCGATAAGTCGTGCTCTCGTCTAGTACTAGTATTGCACACCGGCAGCATTCGATACTACGTTATAAACGTATAGCGCAATGTGGCAAACAGTTACGAGATGAGATATTTACATTATGACAAATTAACATATTCACGCAAGGCTCATTTGACGACTAGCAGCCTGTTCTCAACTACTGGGTAGTTGAGACCACAAGGAAGAATTTATAATACTCGGCAGAGTCTCGTTCTTCCAATGTTTTTGAAATTTATGACAGATTTTCACCGCCATCGTAGCGGCTAGAGGGGGAAATACCCTTCCGTACTTCACCTTGCCAAAAACTCGCTCGCTGCCTCGACAAAGATGAAACAATGGTTCTTATGATTCGATATCCTGAGGTAAATTAGGTTAACCTCAGTAACACTGCTACACTCTAAGATACAGCCCTAAACGCTCGGGTCGTGAATTTAAGTGAATTCGATATTTCCCTGCAAACAAATATCAGGCGAATAACATTAAGAACTTGTGTTAAGAAATTCTCATACAAATAAATAATCCTGATAGGTTGAAAGTTTACCAAGGATATCAAATCCGCGTAATTATCTTTCCGCTTTAAATGTACCCGTTTCCACGCAGCAAGTGGATAAAAGTGACTATAACGATTCCAGTGTCGAAGAAGACATGAAAAAACTAGAAACAATCACATGCTTACATCTGGTACTCGGTACTGTATAAAATTTTAAGATATCTCAGCTTCTTGCATATCAGCGTCGTGACCATTCAGGAGCAGACTAGTCCAAAGCAACGATGAGTTGCTACTCTTCGGTTTCGGCTCAACCGCGTTGCTTTCCTATAGAAATTTTTGAAATTAAATCAACGAGGTTTGATTCAATTCATCGAATTTGTACAAACTGACATTATAAATTGCTTTATAAAAATCTTCCGCGTTGAAACCATATTCATTACAATAACTTCGGTTATTGAAATGAAAATTGCTCTGTAACATTAAGATGATCAGTGTATGTATAATATAG